GTGATCGCACATATTCATTCCTTTGTTTCTAAACAAGACTGAAAATGTTGAATGGAGCTCGGCCTCCATGGAGGCCGAATTTGGGATGATCAAAAAGTCATATTTCTACGTTTCTAATTTTTTTGAAAAAATACACCTATATTAGAAGCATGATGTACAAGTGTGTCAATTTTCATGACAAAATATGTCAAAATGAGTACTACACACACACACAAAATCTTCGCCTTTTTAGTACAAGCACTATTTATCCTCAAAGTCCATGATTTTTTTTTGCATAACTCGCATTACAAGGTATTTCATCCTGAAATTTTACACACATACACATCACATCCTTATATATTTCTGTATATTTTTATATTTTTATGAAACTAAGAAGTTTGAATTTTGTATTTTTTAAAAAAACTGGCCTCCATGGTGGCCGAGCTCCAAAACGCCCTACTCAAACAATAACCTTCTATATAATACCTTAGCAATTCATTTATCTAGTGCCATTTTTGGTCTATATCTTTCTTCGTATACAACCTTGTGAGCCATTAAGCCAGCCATGCCTTTTTCTGTCTGAATTGTCTATATCAGACAATCACAGTTCATGTTGGTTCTCCCGAGTATTGATTTATATTAGTACAACTTTCTACTTGCATGATTGGGTGCATTGGATGCATGTAGGTGTTGAGTTAAAAATCGAAGCTCTCATGACTCGGTCGAACTGGCCGAGTTTTAATCTAAGCTCGTTAATAAAAACGAGTTTAACGAGCCAAGTTAATGAGTTATACATTTAACCCGTTAAGCTTGTCAATTAGAAGGCACATTAGATAAGGCAAAGTGCATTGGTGGACATAGTGCCACGCGAGGTCTACATATTCACCATCCACTACGCCGTGATTCGCGTTGTATTCATACTACTCGTCATGTATATGCATGTCTTAGGATGAAGTATTCCTATATAAACAACTCGTATTCCGAGCGTCAATTAGTGACCATGGCCCATCAGGCTGACGATAGGAGTTAATCTCTCATTTATTTGGAAAGGATGCCACCACCAGTGTGCATTTTCTTGCCAATCCATCTCCATCCCGCATCTCCTCCAATACTAACCCCTCCTCTAGTTCTTGTAGTGTGATCGTGTGCTCCTCCTTATCTACTTATCTCTTTTATTCTGTTTCTAATTTTTTTTAGAAAAGGGGATTACCTCCGGCTTCATTCTGTTTCTATACCTCTCGATCCTTGGGTTTCCAAGCTAATGTTGAAGACCACACTTCGTTGCCTTGCCAGAGCAGGTCGGCTTCGCAACCTTATGCCCATGGTTGTTGAGAACGTGCAACATCAAACTTTCCTGGTTCATTGCCACCATGAGTGGACCTTTCACTTTCCACCTCTCCCCAAATTACATGCTCCATAAAGTATCATCTCAAACTCCGCACTTCCACACCTCCCTACCGTCAACATGAATCCATTTTTGCCCTTTGCAAGCTCCATTATCTGCTCATTATGTCACATGTGTGGGAAGGGGAGGGAAAGGAAGGGGGTGTGCATTAGGTTGAGGATGGCACGTCCATGGATAAAAGTAGTATTAGGGCCCGTATAAGATCATGCATTGGTACCACGCTGTTGACTAAGCAGAGTTATAGTCTCATTTTGTGTTGAGCAACTTGCCAATGACAACCTTTGTTACGAAGAATATTTGCAGATGATCACCTGTCCCGCCAACTTTCTCCAGCCGTAACATTAGCTCCATTTAATAGATTCTATTGGTTGTGTGAGTTGAAGTAGCTACCCGGCCCACAAAAATGTGATATGTTAATGTTTCGGTCCAGATTCTATGCACAAAAAATATATATTCTAAATGTTGGTTCCTGTTGTTGTTTTAGACTCAACATGCGTTAATGTTTAAGTAGCACTCCTGTGAGCATACAATTGGGCACTAATAATCTTGACGTACAGAATTACTTGATTTTGCTATTACGAAACCTAGTCTAAACAGGCACCAACAATGGTCAAGAGGAAAACAAAAATCAAATGCTATCGTAATCACATGAAACCACGCTGTCATTGAGTGAACTATGAAGACGTGGTACGGCCCCCACCCCAACCATTCATTTAAACACACTGCATCACTCTATCTACAACATTTATTAGTGCCTCCTTCCTGTATATGTTGTACTTCAGACATGTATTTAAACACTACGTCGTGGTTAATCCCAACAAGCAAGAAGACAAACACGCATGCGTACAAAATTTATGAGACATGGCTCACGCCTGGACGGTATATTTCGTGTGCTTATTCTCATGTATATGTCAAGCACATGGACTGTATTCCTAAAATCCCTATATTAAACCTGAATCTCATTGCTTGAGCCTGCGGTCCATCTTCTGGCACCCCACGGAACCATGCCCTGAACATCTGCATCCATTAGATAAGAACCAATATTGTTGTCATTTATGGTGTGTACCATGTGCCCCTTTGGTGTAAATTACCGATTGTTATGGTGTGTGAATAGAAATAGATATTGCATACGCAATACAATACCATGTTCATGTTTACAACGAGTTAACCGATCTAACATGCAAGTTAAACGAGCTCTTCCTAGTCTAGCTGAGCTGGCTCGACTCGGCTTGAATTCCACCACAAGGCAATAGCAAAAGATCACTTGGCATATTTATTAACTTATGATAACCCTAGCTGATGGACGCGATTATATCCTGCAGGGATTCACGGGTCCATTTATCTGTTTCTGACCTGTGTACGCATGGATCTGCTTCTCATCACAAGGAGTGACTAGTCAGGCAGGGAAAGAATTCATTTCAGCAGGTAGCATACATCAGGCTCGTTTTTCCTTTTAGGACCCGGCACTATATTCATTGCATACAGTAACAGCAGGCCCGTGAGTGTTGCTTGCGACCTTGATGGACGCTCCATGGCCAGGCCACGCACCAGTTTTGATGGAATCCAGCTCGGCCTGCCTGACGAGCAGCATGTGACCTTGCCTGTGTCGTCCATCGACGGGCCATCCATCATCCGTCTCTACATAAAATGACCACTGACCTAATCCGTGAAATTCAGCCCGTGAAGTGATCACTCTCCCACAGTCCCCACTCACCAGTTTCGGCATAAAATGGATTTAATGGACCTGGGTGCGGGTGGCAACGTAGAATGGGCGCTCTGCTCCTGTGCAGGTGCTGGCTCGGGGGAGGTGGCAACTGAAGGCTGAAGGATTGATGTTTTCTGTGGATATAGGATTATCAACAGCAGCAACTGCGCCGCTGTCTGCCGCACCAAAGTACTTCCCCGACGGCGAGTGCCATGTTGGCTTTTGAACGCTAGAACAAATCAACCAGAAGCAACCTATACGTGCAAGCTACCTAGACAAGCAGTCAAACAATCAGCTTGATTGATGAACAATACCACGTAGGCCTGGGCTTGCTTCGACTTGCGATCGGCTCTCTCGGCGGAACGTACTAGCGCCAACAGGATCGATACGATCTCAGATCGTACAACTCGGTGGATGGTAAACTTAGCAACAGGAAAACTGAACGATGGCCAGAGGCTCGTATCGAGCCTTGCTTTATTTCTCTCCTTGGTAGTTACAAAGGAGCACGGTAGATACATATATATACTAGGCTATACCTAGCAATACTAGTCCTACACGGTGACTGTTGGCAAGCCCGAGGAGGAAGAAGAAAGGACACACAAGAGCTTGAGGTAGAAGAAGAGCATACAGGGAGTTTTGCGGCACCGCACACACTTGTGTCTTTTCTCTGTTTCTTTTCAACACACACAACTGATTACAAAGTCTTTTAACAGAGACACTCTCCCTGCTACGTACTGCCTGATCGGCTATTTTCTCTCCACTAGCCGGTAGCATGGCCATGAGTAACAACCTCTTTGACATGGCCACACGATTCAGCCGGCGTCACGCTTATCTCCTAATTACTCGGTCCACATCTAAGCCACTATCGGCTATACAACACATTCATGCAACGGAAATACGCGTACGTGCATGCTACTAACCTGATGGACGCCCGCACATGCATCCATTCTCTACTGACCTCCTCCCAACTAACTAACTCACTCTATTAACCAGCTTTGCAGTGTGTACGTGATCATAACTAGACATACACAACCTGCCGCAGCTTAGACTAAATGCATGACCGAAACTAATACGACGAAATAAACATGATGAATACCTAGACAACAAGGTAAACTCAATCAATCACCCCCTTAACCTTGTTGTCATTTATTCGAAGACCTCCATGTCTATCTTCAAAGCAACCCCGGCTCGGCGGCGGCGGTCGCGTTGGCGAGAAGCGCCCGCTGCTTCCTTGGCTCGGTGCAGTCCTTGGAGTAAT